GGGGGGAAACAGGAGACTGGGTGGGGAAGCATTTTGGTGGGGGGGAACATTAGTGTGGGTGGGAGGGCAGGAGGGTGCACGGGGCAGAAGGTGGATGGGAGGATCAAGAGGGTGGGTGGGTTGGTAAGAGGGTGGTAGGGGGAGAGGGGGAGAGGGAGGGTGGGGAAGGAGATAACCAGACCTTGAACAGGAATGTGTATAGTCAACAATGATTCTACACCATGACTCTCCACCTCCCCCAAACACTCACACTAAACTAAGTCACCTCCCTCATTTCTCTCCCCCTCCCCCTCCATCCCTTCCTCCCTCCCTCTCTCACTCCATCTCCTTCCTTCCTTCCTTCCTTCTTTCCTTCCTTCCTTCCTTCCCCTCCCCTCAGTAAGTTGTCAGTGAAGAAAAGTGATTGTAAGTGACAGGAAGGATGATGCTGTGTTGGTGAGATGTATCTCGCACGCTGGCATCATCTGCAGCATCCCTTGCTGATGAAGGATGCTGCAAGATGCACAGCTTGTTGCACCAAAAACTAGAGCATCCTTCTGCAGCAGCATAATCCCTGCTGCTGAGAATGCAGCAGACTCTGCTGCTGCTATTTAATTACAGGCGCCTGGTTCTTCCTCTGTAGTTAGTGAAGATGGTCACACTAAGACTCGGCTTCCTGTTGGGCTGTGCTGCTCCCCCCCCCCAGCCCATCAGATACCAGACCCCAGCAACACCATTGTGAAGAGTCACTTTCTTCTGCACCTGAGTGTGTCGGCCAGAGTAACCACTTTCCGTCTTACCTGAGTGTGTGTGTGTGTGTGTGTGTGTGTGTGTGTGTGTGTGTGTGTGTGTGTGTGTGTGTGTGTGTGTGTGTGTGTGTGGTGTGTGTGTGTGTGTGTGTGTGTATGTGTGTGTGTGTGTGTGTGTGTGTGTGTGGTGTGTGTGTGTGTGTGTGTGTGTGTGTGTACTCACCTAGTTGTACTCACCTAGTTGAGGTTGCGGGGGTCGAGTCCGAGCTCCTGGCCCCGCCTCTTCACTGATCGCTACTAGGTCACTCTCCCTGAGCCGTGAGCTTTATCATACCTCTGCTTAAAGCTATGTATGGATCCTGCCTCCACTACATCGCTTCCCAAACTATTCCACTTACTGACTACTCTGTGGCTGAAGAAATACTTCCTAACATCCCTGTGATTCATCTGTGTCTTCAACTTCCAACTGTGTCCCCTTGTTGATGTGTCCAGTCTCTGGAACATCCTGTCTTTGTCCACCTTGTCAATTCCTCTCAGTATTTTGTATGTCGTTATCATGTGTGTGTGTGTGTGTGTGTGTGTGTGTGTGTGTGTGAGGGGACTGAGGGGATTCTCTGTAAACCTGATTGGCATAACCTGAATTTAAGTATACCTCAGGTCTCTTGCACCTGATCTTCCAAATACTGCAGGTCTCTGTGTTAGCAAGTGCCTGGTCTGTCTGTCTGTCTGTCTGTCTGTCTGTCTGTCTGTCTGTCTCTCTCTCTCTGTCTGTCTCTCTCTCTCTCTCTCTCTCTCTCTCTCTCTCTCTCAACACTTGTAACACCACAACACTGAATTCACTTCCTCAAGGGCCACTTAAATTCCTCCATCAACACTTGAAGACACACTCGCAACTGCTGGTAGTGTTGCGTTACCTGCTGGTAGTGTTGCGTTACCTGCTGGTAGTGTTGCGTTACTTGCTGGTAGTGTTGCGTTACCTGCTGGTAGTGTTGCGTTACCTGCTGGTAGTGTTGCGTTACCTGCTGGTAGTGTTGCGTTACTTGCTGGTAGTGTTGCGTTACCTGCTGGTAGTGTTGCGTTACCTGCTGGTAGTGTTGCGTTACCTGCTGGTAGTGTTGCGTTACTTGCTGGTAGTGTTGCGTTACCTGCTGGTAGTGTTGCGTTACTTGCTGGTAGTGTTGCGTTACCTGATGGTAGTGTTGCGTTACCTGCTGGTAGTGTTGCGTTACCTGCTGGTAGTGTTGCGTTACCTGCTGGTAGTGTTGCGTTACCTGCTGGTAGTGTTGCGTTACCTGCTGGTAGTGTTGCGTTACCTGCTGGTAGTGTTGCGTTACTTGCTGGTAGTGTTGCGTTACCTGATGGTAGTGTTGCGTTACCTGCTGGTAGTGTTGCGTTACCTGCTGGTAGTGTTGCGTTACCTGCTGGTAGTGTTGCGTTACTTGCTGGTAGTGTTGCGTTACCTGCTGGTAGTGTTGCGTTACTTGCTGGTAGTGTTGCGTTACCTGATGGTAGTGTTGCGTTACCTGCTGGTAGTGTTGCGTTCCCTGCTGGTAGTGTTGCGTTACCTGCTGGTAGTGTTGCGTTACCTGCTGGTAGTGTTGCGTTACCTGCTGGTAGTGTTGCGTTACCTGATGGTAGTGTTGCGTTACCTGCTGGTAGTGTTGCGTTACCTGCTGGTAGTGTTGCGTTACCTTCTGGTAGTGTTGCGTTACCTGATGGTAGTGTTGCGTTACCTGCTGGTAGTGTTGCGTTACCTGCTGGTAGTGTTGCGTTACCTGATGGTAGTGTTGCGTTACCTGCTGGTAGTGTTGCGTTACCTGATGGTAGTGTTGCGTTACCTGCTGGTAGTGTTGCGTTACCTACTGTTGGTTGTTAGGAAGCATGAACGTGACGTACCTGGTAGGTCATGACCTGGGGTAGTAAGCATGAACGTGACGTACCTGGTAGGTCATGACCTGAGGGTAGTAAGCATGAACGTGACGTACCTGGTAGGTCATGACCTGAGAGTAAGCATGAACGTGACGTACCTGGTAGGTCATGACCTGGGGGTAGTAAGCATGAACGTGACGTACCTGGTAGGTCATGACCTGGGGTAGTAAACGTGAACGTGACGTACCTGGTAGGTCATGACCTGGGGGTAGTAAACATGAACGTGACGTACCTGGTAGGTCATGACCTGGGGGTAGTAAGCATGAACGTGACGTACCTGGTAGGTCATGACCTGGGGTAGTAAACGTGAACGTGACGTACCTGGTAGGTCATGACCTGGGGTAGTAAACATGAACGTGACGTACCTGGTAGATCATGACCTGGGGGTAGTAAGCATGAACGTGACGTACCTGGTAGGTCATGACCTGGGGGTAGTAAGCATGAACGTGACGTACCTGGTAGGTCATGACCTGGGGGTAGTAAGCATGAACGTGACGTACCTGGTAGGTCATGACCTGGGGGTAGTAAGCATGAACGTGGCGTACCTGGTAGGTCATGACCTGGGTGTAGTAAGCATGAACGTGGCGTACCTGGTAGGTCATGACCTGGGGGTAGTAAGCATGAACGTGGCGTACCTGGTAGGTCATGACCTGGGGGTAGTAAGCATGAACGTGGCGTACCTGGTAGGTCATGACCTGGGGTAGTAAACATGAACGTGACGTACCTGGTAGGTCATGACCTGGGGGTGGTAAACATGAACGTGACGTACCTGGTAGGTCATGACCTGGGGTAGTAAACATGAACGTGACGTACCTGGTAGGTCATGACCTGGGGGTAGTAAACATGAACGTGACGTACCTGGTAGGTCATGACCTGGGAGTAGTAAGCATGAACGTGACGTACCTGGTAGGTCATGACTTGGGGTAGTAAACATGAACGTGACGTACCTGGTAGGTCATGACCTGGGGTAGTAAACATGAACGTGACGTACCTGGTAGGTCATGACCTGGGATAGTAAACATGAACGTGACGTACCTGGTAGGTCATGACATGGGGTAGTAAACATAAACGTGACGTACCTGGTAGGTCATGACCTGGGGGTAGTAAACATGAACGTGACGTACCTGGTAGGTCATGACCTGGGGGTAGTAAGCATGAACGCGTTGAGCGTGGGCATCATAAGCGATGCCGTACTGAAGTTTGGACTGCATAGTGTAGTAGTGATAGAGCCAAGAGTTAGCTCTTAACACTGCTGCTTCCTTCTCTCCTAGAACCTGGTTGGTGGCCACGATCACTGGCTGTTGTTGCTGCTGCTGTTGCGTGCTGCTGTTGCAGCTACTGCTGTTTGTGTTTGTGTTACTGCTGCTGCTGGTGCTAGTGGTGTTGGTGTTGCTAGTGATGTGAGAGCCCTGACCAGCCTGCTGGCTGGAGTCAGCAGCATCCTTAACCTGTAAGACACTATGTACCCAACGCCAGGTGCCCCCGGCGGCCTGTAGACGCACCAGCAGGATACAGGACCTGTCCTGCTCACTCGTAGTAACTGCAGAAGTGAAAGAACACTGTTAGGGAAGTGTAACAGGTAGTAACATTAGTTCCGTAACTTAGTCCCCTCAAGGAAGGTTCCTTGATGTTGGTGAGGGGCTCTTGATTTAGGGAATTGGATCTGTGCTCCAGTTCCCCGAATCAGCGCTTCCCCCTTGATTATAATAATAAGAATCCGTAACTTAGTCACCCGCTCACACTACCCACACATCCAGCCTGCCAACCCAAGATGACTATTAATAGATAGAAGACGCAGAGATGGATAGATCAGGAGGGTATAGACCAGGGGGAGTTGAATGATAGGTTTAGACCTTTCGTGTTGTAATCGGCACATCTTTAGGAGCTTGCAATGTTGCAGAAATAAGTAGGAAGTCCAGGTAGATTCGTTCAAGGGAAGGACTGTTGGTAGAGTCATTCCCTTGAACGAATGGCTGACTGATCAGTCAACCTCCTGTGTTTCCGTGTCCATGTGGGTTATTACCGAACACTGACAAGTGTTCAGTAATAACCCACATGGGTTATTACTGAACACTTCACGACTGTAATAACCCACATGGGTTATTACAATCGTAAACAGGCGATTCTAACAATGCAGAAGCTACAGTGTGATAGAAATCTTCTGCCAAAGATTTCGTTCCTGGAGGAGGAGGAGGAGGAGGCCACGGAGGTTCATATATGAGTCAGAGGTACTTACTGAGGCGGTGTTTGGTCTGTGCTTCTCTCATGTTCTCAGGATGAAGAAGGTGGTACCAGGAGACGCCAGCCAGAGACGACACTAGTGTAGCCAGGTGGAACTCTCCACTGTGTCCACCACCACAGCCACACACACACACAGGGGAGAGAGAGAGAGAGGATCGTACCATCAGTCTTGACTATTTAATAGACTCACACAACATTTACCATGATATCTGTCTATCTGACGCCCCCCTCTAAACAACGTCTATCTGACGCCCCCCTCTAAACAACGTCTATCTGACGCCCCCTTACACGCAAAGAATTAAGACTTAATATCGTGGCTGGAACATGTAATACCGTGACTGGAACACAATACCGTGACTGAAACACGTAACACCACGGGCGGAACACACAATACCATGGCTGGAACATACAATACCACGGGTGGAACACACAATACCACGGTGGGACACACAATACCACAGCTGGAACACAATACCACGGTGGAACACACAATAACACGGTGGAACACACAATACCACGGCTGGAACACACAATATCACGGCTGGAATACACAACACCACGGCTGGAACACAATGTCTTAGCCACACAATTCCTGACCCCACAGTTTAGAGGGGTAACTAAAGATGTCAGAGGCCGTTGTGGATGCTACGTCAAGGCGCGATATCTCACCACAGAAACACACCGCACGTGGTCCTTCCTACTGTTTATTTCGCTTGTCTGCTGCCCTTCGTGTGCTGCTCAAGGCTTGGTGTCTGCGTTAATATGAATAACGAAAGGGCTGGTTGGTTAACGGGGATTTGGGGACTATCTTCTATACGAGGGTCATTAAGGCTACAGGTTACATGTATACCACCAGTCAAGAATGTTTTTAAATACCTCACATGATGGTTACAGTAAACTCGCAGCGTATGTACACTGAGAAACATACACCTCACAGTGTATGTACACTGAGAGACATACACATCACAGTGTATGTACACTGAGAAACATACACCTCACAGTGTATGTACACTGAGAAACATACACCTCACAGTGTATGTACACTGAGAAACATACACCTCACAGTGTATGTACACTGAGAAACATACACCTCACAGTGTATGTACACTGAGAGACATACACCTCACAGTGTATGTACCCTGAGAGACATACACCTCACAATGTATGTACCCTGAGAGACATACACATCACAATGTATGTACCCTGAGAGACATACACATCACAGTGTATGTACACTGAGAGACATACACATCACAATGTATGTACCCTGAGAGACATACACATCACAGTGTATGTACACTGAGAGACATACACATCACAGTGTATGTACACTGAGAGACATACACATCACAATGTATGTACCCTGAGAGACATACACATCACAGTGTATGTACACTGAGAGACATACACATCACAATGTACACTGAGACATACACATCACAATGTATGTACATTGAGAGACATACACATCATAATTTATATAGACTGAGAGACATACACATCACAGTGTATATACACCGAGAGACATGCGCATCACAGTGTATATACACTGAGAGACATACACATCATAATTTATATACACTGAGAGACATACACCTCAGTGTATATACACTGAGAGACATACACATTATAATTTATATACACTGAGAGACATACACCTCAGTGTATATACACTGAGAGACATACACATTATAATTTATATACACTGAGAGACATACACATTATAATTTATATACACTGAGAGACATACACATTATAATTTATATACACGTCTGGCTGACTCATGACTAAATTTCAAGTCAAGTCTGACTGACACTATCTGACGCCCCCTCTAAACAACGTCTATCTGACGCCCCCTCTAAACAACGTCTATCTGACGCCCCCTCTAAACAACGTCTATCTGACGCCCCCTCTAAACAACGTCTATCTGACGCCCCCTCTAAACAACGTCTATCTGACGCCCCCTCTAAACAACGTCTATCTGACGCCCCCTCTAAACAACGTCTATCTGACGCCCCTCTAAACAACGTCTATCTGACGCCCCCTCTAAACAACGTCTATCTGACGCCCCCTCTAAACAACGTCTATCTGACGCCCCTCTAAACAACGTCTATCTGACCCCCCTCTAAACAACGTCTATCTGACGCCCCCTCTAAACAAACGTCATCTGACGCCCCCTCTAAACAACGTCTATCTGACGCCCCCTCTAAACAACGTCTATCTGACCCCCCTCTAAACAACGTCTATCTGACCCCCCCTCTAAACAACGTCTATCTGACCCCCCCTCTAAACAACGTCTATCTGACCCCCCCTCTAAACAACGTCTATCTGACGGCCCCATCTAAACAACGTCTATCTGACGCCCCCTCTAAACAACGTCTATCTGACGGCCCCTCTAAACAACGTCTATCTGACGCCCCCTCTAAACAACGTCTATCTGACGCCCCTCTAAACAACGTCTATCTGACGCCCCCCTCTAAACAACGTCTATCTGACGCCCCCTCTAAACAACGTCTATCTGACGCCCCTCTAAACAACGTCTATCTGACGCCCCCTCTAAACAACGTCTATCTGACGCCCCCCTCTAAACAACGTCTATCTGACCCCCCCTCTAAACAACGTCTATCTGACGCCACCTCTAAACAACGTCTATCTGACGCCCCCTCTAAACAACGTCTATCTGACGCCCCCTCTAAACAACGTCTATCTGACGCCCCTCTAAACAACGTCTATCTGAGCCCCCCCCTCTAAACAACGTCTATCTGACCCCCCCTCTAAACAACGTCTATCTGACGCCCCCTCTAAACAACGTCTATCTGACGCCCCCTCTAAACAACGTCTATCTGACGCCCCTCTATACAACGTCTATCTGACGCCCCCTCTAAACAACGTCTATCTGACGCCCCCTCTAAACAACGTCTATCTGGACGCCCCCTCTAAACAACGTCTATCTGACGCCCCTCTAAACAACGTCTATCTGACGCCCCCTCTAAACAACGTCTATCTGACGCCCCCTCTAAACAACGTCTCTCTGACGCCCCTCTAAACAACGTCTATCTGACGCCCCCTCTAAACAACGTCTATCTGACGCCCCTCTAAACAACGTCTATCTGACGCCCCCTCTAAACAACGTCCTCTTGACGCCCCCTCTAAACAACGTCTATCTGACGCCCCCTCTAAACAAACGTCTATCTGACGCCCCCTCTAAACAACGTCTATCTGACGCCCCCTCTAAACAACGTCTATCTGACGCCCCTCTAACAACGTCTATCTGACGCCCCTCTAAACAACGTCTATCTGACGCCCCCTCTAAACAACGTCTATCTGACGCCCCCTCTAAACAACGTCTATCTGACGCCCCTCTAAACAACGTCTATCTGACGCCCCCTCTAAACAACGTCTATCTGACGCCCCCCTCTAAACAACGTCTATCTGACGCCCCTCTAAAACAACGTCTATCTGACGCCCCCTCTAAACAACGTCTATCTGACGCCCCCTCTAAACAACGTTATCTGACCCCCCCTCTAAACAACGTCTATCTGACGCCCCCTCTAAACAACGTCTATCTGACGCCCCCTCTAAACAACGTCTATCTGACCCCCCTCTAAACAACGTCTATCTGACGCCCCCTCTAAACAACGTCTATCTGACGCCCCCTCTAAACAACGTCTATCTGACCCCCCCTCTAAACAACGTCTATCTGACCCCCCCTCTAAAACAACGTCTATCTGACGCCCCCCCTCTAAACAACGTCTATCTGACGCCCCCTCTAAACAACGTCTCTCTGACCCCCCCTCTAAACAACGTCTATCTGACGCCCCCCTCTAAACAACGTCTATCTGACGCCCCCCTCTAAACAACGTCTATCTGACGCCCCCTCTAAACAACGTCTATCTGACCCCCCCTCTAAACAACGTCTATCTGACGCCCCCTCTAAACAACGTCTATCTGACGCCCCCTCTAAAACAACGTCTATCTGACGCCCCTCTAAAACAACGTCTATCTGACGCCCCTCTAAACAACGTCTATCTGACGCCCCCTCTAAACAAGTCTATCTGACGCCCCCTCTAAAACAACGTCTATCTGACGCCCCTCTAAACAACGTCTATCTGCGCCCCTCTAAACAACGTCTATCTGACGCCCCCTCTAAAACAACGTCTATCTGACGCCCCCTCTAAAAACGTCTATCTGACGCCCCTCTAAACAACGTCTATCTGACCCCCCCTCTAAACAAACGTCTATCTGACGCCCCCTCTAAACAACGTCTATCTGACGCCCCCTCTAAACAACGTCTATCTGAGCCCCCTCTAAACAACGTCTATCTGACGCCCCTCTAAACAACGTCTATCTGACGCCCCTCTAAACAACGTCTATCTGACGCCCCCTCTAAACAACGTCTATCTGACCCCCCCTCTAAACAACGTCTATCTGACGGCCCCTCTAAACAACGTCTATCTGACGCCCCCTCTAAACAACGTCTATCTGACGCCCCCTCTAAACAACGTCTATCTGACGCCCCCTCTAAACAACGTCTTCTGACGCCCCCTCTAAACAACGTCTATCTGACCCCCCCTCTAAACAACGTCTATCTGACGCCCCCTCTAAACAACGTCTATCTGACGCCCCCTCTAAACAACGTCTATCTGACGCCCCTCTAAACAACGTCTATCTGACGCCCCCTCTAAACAAACGTCTATCTGACGCCCCCTCTAAACAACGTCTATCTGAGCCCCCTCTAAACAACGTCTATCTGACCCCCCTCTAAACAACGTCTATCTGACGCCCCCTCTAAACAACGTCTATCTGACGCCCCCTCTAAAACAACGTCTATCTGACGCCCCCTCTAAACAACGTCTATCTGACGCCCCCTCTAAACAACGTCTATCTGACGCCCCCTCTAACAACGTCTATCTGACGCCCCCTCTAAACAACGTCTATCTGACGCCCCCTCTAAACAACGTCTATCTGACGCCCCCTCTAAACAACGTCTCTCTGATGCCCCCCTCTAAACAAGTCTATCTGACGCCCCCTCTAAACAACGTCTCTCTGATGCCCCCTCTAAACAACGTCTCTCTGACGCCCCCTCTAAACAACGTCTATCT